TTAAATTTTTTTACCCATTAAATAAATAGTCAAATCAAAGAGTGTGGTTCTCTATGCGTAATGCCAGGATGTGATTGGAGCTCAGGGAATGAAGCTCTGTTTTTTATGTAACTTTAGTGAAGAGGCAGAGAGCACATCTCTCCAAACAGAGCAGCACACCCACCTTCACATGACAAGAGCTCTCGAGCGGCGCTGGATCAGGCTGGAGGGGCTTGATCAGCTCTCAGCTAGATGGTGTGGGTTCACAGTTCTAGTAGGATAGCATGAGTTGCCCTTGCCAAAGAATGCAGTGCTTCAGAGATGATAGATATCAGGGCTCGGGCGCGTCTCTTACCACTGGCCTTGTTGTTGTCGTCTGATTGTTGCACCATGAGGACTTGGGTTTGAAGAAATACACTTGTCAAAATATACTATATTATGTAATTGTTCACCCAAAAGTAAAAATTCACTCTAATGTTGTTGCAAACCTGTTATCATTTCTGTGGAACATAAAAATAGCAAATTTGATCAATGGTGCATGTGACAAAAAAAAAGCACCATAAAAGTAATCTATACGACTTGTCCACTATATTCCAAGTCCTCCGAAATCAGTTGGTCAAGAGAAAGATTTTTTTGTAAATGACAAGCTAAAATTGTGAGTTTCTGTTTCTCATACAAGCTGCATTATGGCTTCAGATGGCTTGGAACATAGAACATGAGTCATTTTATGATACTTAAAAGGGTGTTTTGGGACTTTCTAGAGCTTGACTAATGACACTACTGAAATAATGGAGTAGGATTTACTTTGAAACCATTTTCTCACAAATGTTTCTCACAATATTCAGGAATTGCTAGTAATTTTTGCAAATAATTACAAAGAAACAGCAAGTAACACTGACTCAAATGTGAAATGTTGACGTAGAAAGACTGAAATAGTATTTTCTTGTAAAATGTACTCTAATATTTTTTGTTTTATTTACAACTTCGAAAAAAATAAACTACATGAACTGTTGTTATATTGAAAAAAAAGCTGTGTGAAAATGTTCCTTCTGTTTCACTGAAGAAATAATGCATGCTTTGGAATTACATTTTTGAGAAAAGAAAAATTGCTCAGTGGTTGCTCTTTTATAGCTTGAGAGACTGAGTGAAGTTCTCTGCTAGTTTTAATTACAATTTTAAATCTAAATAAATAACAAAAAAAAAATTAAAATCATAATAAACCACCCCTTTAAACTAATCAAGTTGTATGTACTAACAGATACATTCTTACCAAATCAGTTCAAATCACATTAATGTCAATTACCAGGCGGCTGAGAATACTTGAGGTGTGCTCAACAATATTTTACAGTGCAGGTGGGCAGTTTGATGAACTGACTTAAATGACTAGGTCTTCGGCAAAGGTAGCCTATAACATGTCTGATCCTATTTCAACACAATTATGCACATTAGCTTTATTTTTGAAGGTGAAGTGTGTAATTTCTGTCCATCTAGTTGCACCTAACGGAATTGCATTAAAAAAATTACTATTTTCAAACAGGTTTCCAGAACACTCTCTGTCATTTGTTGACCAAATTTATTCACATTTAAATGTTATACATTATAATTTAAGTTCCATATTAGGACTTGATTTAGTCTAATTTATTTTTTTGGTTTTGGATTTTAATAATATTATTAATATTATTTTCCCTTATACATGCAGCCTTGGTTACATCAGCAGAACAGAAAAATCATTTTAAAAGTGGAGAAAGCTTTTATGTTTTAATGAAAGATTATAAAAACATTTATAATACCTTCAGAACAATGTACACTGATGAACAATGCAACAATTGCAGTTAATTAGAAGTTCTTTGGCCAATTTCACTGTTTGATTTTCTGTTGTGTGCAGACACTGCTTCATGCTGAAGAGAAGAGAATAGGTTATGCTGTCTTATTTTAAATTAAAATTAGGACAAGACTCCAAAGTCTCATTCTCTTCAAATCATAATCACTGTAGAAAAAAAGACACAGAAGACACATTATGACATGAAACTATAAAGTGTAGCTAATTTAAACATCTCTCTCTAAGTAATAATAAAGATGACCATTTTAATTGTAAACTCCTAGCTGGTTTCTTCACCCAAAAACACATGGAGGGCTAATTGAATTCTTTAGTCTTCATTATTTTACCACATATTCATAATTTGATGTTACACTAGAGTGCCACCTCTAGCTTATTATGTTTATTATATGCTTTTCTCTCATGCGAACAACCTATAAATAAGGCCTGTGAATACGCCACCAGCTGCCCACAGATCATACGCTATAAACCAGAGCAAGAGTGCTGATTGAAGATAAGGTTTTGCTTTTTATAGCCAACTAAATACGACACAGCTGCTGATCCTGGATCAGTTCGAATCTGATGCTTTATATAGTCTGTGAGGTGACAGTTATTATGCATGTGCAGTGTGTATGTCAGCTTGTGCTGATTAGGATCGCTGGGTATGATTGCTATAAAAAACAATTGGACAAGAGTTAATTCGCTTTTCTTTTCACGGTTACCATTGAGTGTGAGACCAGGATGGAAACCAAGAATGTTTTTCGCAGGACAGCACGCACGCACGCATACTACATCGAAGACTTTGTCCCGTCCCAGGTGTACAGGAGCTGCGTGTGGTTTGTCCTACTTCCTGTACAGTGTGACTGTACCTCGGATTATGCGCGAGCATGTGTGTAACGATGCGACAAACACTGACCCATTTCAATATGCTGTAATATTTGCAAGCCCGGATAAGTTTGATCTTTTTCCAGAGAGCAGGAGCTGTTAATCTTGTAATGCAAGCGGGTTTAATTATAATCCAAGAACGCCAGAATTCAAATTTGCACCTTTTAGTTGCCAAGATCAATTAACACCCGTCCCCCAAAGTCAAAGTTTACCACGGGCAAGATCGGACATGAGAATTGCTGCGTAAAGTGAGTTCATGCGCAATGACGCCACTACATCACCAAAGTGATCTTGCACAAACGTTCGCAGGCAGACTTCTCTTAAATGCGCTCGTGAGAGCGTTACGCGTCGGACGCACGTCCCAGTTTTGGCACTGAGGCAAGTGTGTAGGAACCCAGCGCGTCCTCCTCTCTCTCCTCTAACCTCCTCACAGCAAGACGCACGATTTCACAGGATGCTTCACCATATGCTTCTCTTAACCACTGAGATTGGGGTTTGGATGTAGGCGATCCATCGGGCGCAGAGCGAGTTCTGGATTTGGATGCTTCGCTGGCACGGCTTTGCGGGTGATGGTGAAGCGCGTCTTGCGCGCTGCCGCACGTTTCCTCGATCTTTCCTCGGGACGTTTGGCGAAGGGAAATGTGAAGAAGGCTTAAAGAATGGCATGTAAACATGGTTTCTGCCAAGAAGGAGATGGTGACTGCGATGTACCCCACTTCTATTTCCACTCTCCTCTACTTTCTGTGTGTGGCGGCTTGGTGAGTTCCAACTGGATGTGAGCGTTACGCATGGCATCTTTACGCCTCGAGGTTACAAACGACAAACCCAGGCGTCTTTGAACTGTTTGTGCTGTTGATTGATACGAAAAATAGGCGTTTATTTCATGTGTGCGCAATGTTAAAATGCTTCAGTTTGCTATGTGTTGTTTTTAGCATAAAGAGAATATCTGGACAGATCAGAAAGGATGAGAAATTATACCCGGAAAATTTCACACGCATTCTGGACCGACTTCTGGATGGATACGACAACAGGCTCCGACCTGGATTTGGGGGTACGTGCCAAAATCTTTACAATCATTTGGCCCAAAAAAGCTCACGTTACTTTTAAAGCTTCTCGCGCAAAGCGAGCTCTCCAAATGTTGTGTTTTTACGCAGGTCGCATGCTGTTTACCAAGTGTTGTTTGTTTGGTGAGGGTCGGTGTCCTCTGAGGGGAGATGGAGGTGTAAGCCAACTCCAAATGTCCTTTTGCTGCCCACTTTCTTTCTCTGCTCTCATGTATCTGTTAGATTGGTGCCGTTTGGTTGTTTAAGCGAGTTTAGTTATGTAATCACGCCGAGAAAGCCTTTTTAAGTAGGAAGAGATGCTCGCTTTGTTTGCGTAAACCGCTCACTTTCCCCACACTCTCCTATCTTTAAACAGCGCGCACCAGCGTTTTAACCTGTTTTGCGAAGCCAAATGATTCGCTGCTATATAATTGCTGGTAATGAGCGAACAATTTTATTGTTGCTCTATTCTTGAGTACAATAGCACGAAAGATTTGACTGTAGTCATTGTGCTTGAAACTTCAGTATTAACCCCTTAGAGTGTGCTTGAAAATTAAAAAAATAGTCAAAAAGATCTGGATATTAAACTTCGCGTGTAAAATGTAACACTTTATAGCTTCATTAATAGCATGAAAAAACGTTACTAGATTATATGATTGTATTAATACTAGATTGTATTAATCATTACATAATATTGATTAATGACTTATTGATGAAAGTTTCTAAAGAAAAACATCAAGACTTGCTGCACACATCAGTTTCCACTATTCCCTTTCCCTCATTAAATTTTTTTACCCATTAAATAAATAGTCAAATCAAAGAGTGTGGTTCTCTATGCGTAATGCCAGGATGTGAGAATTCAAATTTGCACCTTTTAGTTGCCAAGATCAATTAACACCCGTCCCCCAAAGTCAAAGTTTACCACGGGCAAGATCGGACATGAGAATTGCTGCGTAAAGTGAGTTCATGCGCAATGACGCCACTACATCACCAAAGTGATCTTGCACAAACGTTCGCAGGCAGACTTCTCTTAAATGCGCTCGTGAGAGCGTTACGCGTCGGACGCACGTCCCAGTTTTGGCACTGAGGCAAGTGTGTAGGAACCCAGCGCGTCCTCCTCTCTCTCCTCTAACCTCCTCACAGCAAGACGCACGATTCCACAGGATGCTTCACCATATGCTTCTCTTAACCACTGAGATTGGGGTTTGGAAGTAGGCGATCCATCGGGCGCAGAGCGAGTTCTGGATTTGGATGCTTCGCTGGCACGGCATTGCGGGTGATGGTGAAGCGCGTCTTGCGCGCTGCCGCACGTTTCCTCGATCTTTCCTCGGGACGTTTGGCGAAGGGAAATGTGAAGAAGGCTTAAAGAATGGCATGTAAACATGGTTTCTGCCAAGAAGGAGATGGTGACTGCGATGTACCCCACTTCTATTTCCACTCTCCTCTACTTTCTGTGTGTGGCGGCTTGGTGAGTTCCAACTGGATGTGAGCGTTACGCATGGCATCTTTACGCCTCGAGGTTACAAACGACAAACCCAGGCGTCTTTGAACTGTTTGTGCTGTTGATTGATACGAAAAATAGGCGTTTATTTCATGTGTGCGCAATGTTAAAATGCTTCAGTTTGCTATGTGTTGTTTTTAGCATAAAGAGAATATCTGGACAGATCAGAAAGGATGAGAAATTATACCCGGAAAATTTCACACGCATTCTGGACCGACTTCTGGATGGATACGACAACAGGCTCCGACCTGGATTTGGGGGTACGTGCCAAAATCTTTACAATCATTTGGCCCAAAAAAGCTCACGTTACTTTTAAAGCTTCTCGCGCAAAGCGAGCTCTCCAAATGTTGTGTTTTTACGCAGGTCGCATGCTGTTTACCAAGTGTTGTTTGTTTGGTGAGGGTCGGTGTCCTCTGAGGGGAGATGGAGGTGTAAGCCAACTCCAAATGTCCTTTTGCTGCCCACTTTCTTTCTCTGCTCTCATGTATCTGTTAGATTGGTGCCGTTTGGTTGTTTAAGCGAGTTTAGTTATGTAATCACGCCGAGAAAGCCTTTTTAAGTAGGAAGAGATGCTCGCTTTGTTTGCGTAAACCGCTCACTTTCCCCACACTCTCCTATCTTTAAACAGCGCGCACCAGCGTTTTAACCTGTTTTGCGAAGCCAAATGATTCGCTGCTATATAATTGCTGGTAATGAGCGAACAATTTTATTGTTGCTCTATTCTTGAGTACAATAGCACGAAAGATTTGTAGTCATTGTGTAGTCACTGTAGTCATTGTGCTTGAAACTTCAGTATTAACCCCTTAGAGTGTGCTTGAAAATTAAAAAAATAGTCAAAAAGATCTGGATATTAAACTTCGCGTGTAAAATGTAACACTTTATAGCTTCATTAATAGCATGAAAAAACGTTACTAGATTATATGATTGTATTAATACTAGATTGTATTAATCATTACATAATATTGATTAATGACTTATTGATGAAAGTTTCTAAAGAAAAACATCAAGACTTGCTGCACACATCAGTTTCCACTATTCCCTTTCCCTCATTAAATTTTTTTACCCATTAAATAAATAGTCAAATCAAAGAGTGTGGTTCTCTATGCGTAATGCCAGGATGTGATTGTAGCTCTGGGAATGAGGGTTTTTTATGCAACTTTAGTGAAGAGGCAGAGAGCACATCTCTCCAAACAGAGCAGCACACCCACCTTCACATGACAAGAGCTCTCGAGCGGCGCTGGATCAGGCTGGAGGGGCTTGATCAGCTCTCAGCTAGATGGTGTGGGTTCACAGTTCTAGTAGGATAGCATGAGTTGCCCTTGCCAAAGAATGCAGTGCTTCAGAGATGATAGATATCAGGGCTCGGGCGCGTCTCTTACCACTGGCCTTGTTGTTGTCGTCTGATTGTTGCACCATGAGGACTTGGGTTTGAAGAAATACACTTGTCAAAATATACTATATTATGTAATTGTTCACCCAAAAGTAAAAATTCACTCTAATGTTGTTGCAAACCTGTTATCATTTCTGTGGAACATAAAAATAGCAAATTTGATCAATGGTGCATGTGACAAAAAAAAAGCACCATAAAAGTAATCTATACGACTTGTCCACTATATTCCAAGTCCTCCGAAATCAGTTGGTCAAGAGAAAGATTTTTTTGTAAATGACAAGCTAAAATTGTGAGTTTCTGTTTCTCATACAAGCTGCCTTATGGCTTCAGATGACTTGGAACATAGAGCATGAGTCATATGGACTATTTAATGATACTTAAAAGGTTTTTTTATTTTTTTTACTTGACTAATCACTACTGAAAAAAAGGTGTAGGATTTACTTTCAAACTATTTTCACAAATATTTCTCACAATTCTCAGAAATTGCTAAATTTTGCAAATAATTACAAAGAAACGGCAAGTAACTGCATCAAATGTGAAATTTTGAAGTAGAAAGACTGAAATAGTATTTTCATGTGTTTTTTTATTTTTTTTTACTTGACTAATCACTACTGAAAAAAGGTGTAGGATTTACTTTCAAACTATTTTCACAAATATTTCTCACAATTCTCAGAAATTGCTAAATTTTGCAAATAATTACAAAGAAACGGCAAGTAACTGCATCAAATGTGAAATTTTGAAGTAGAAAGACTGAAATAGTATTTTCATGTAAAATGTACTCCAATAAACATTGTTTTATTTACAACTCTAAAATAATAATAATAATATTAATAATAATAATAATAATTACATTGTATGAACTGTTGTTGTATTGCAAATTTTTTTTGATTTTCTGTTTGAAAATCTTCCTTTTGTGTTTCAATAGAAACAAATGAGATAATTGTCCTGCAGTAAGAGTATAGATAAAGTGAATATGAAAAGCAGCTTAGTATTCAAATGTGATGAGAAATGTTTCATATTGAGACCTTTGACTTGTGATTGCATACTTTGGTCTTTTGGTCAAATCTGTGCAGTTTGAGGCACTGATGAGATCTCTTTTGAATCTCAAGAGGAGATGCATCTGAAAGCAGGAGACCTCCATTTACTTACTTACTTTAGATATTTAAAAGATCTCTTTTTTATTTTTGTGTGCAGTGGACTGAGTGAGATTGTTCCTGTCTTTCATATTTCTGTAGAATTCATGGTTGTCAACTGTGAGAGATGCTCAGAGTGTCTGTTTAATGACAGATCATCCATTTTCTTGTGTCTGACTGAAGGCACTTCTCTCTCAGGTGATTTACTCAAGCATCTGTCAGAGAACCTCTAGAACATTTGGAGTTCAAACCTCACAAGTTCAGCCAATGAGACGGTTCAGTGATTAATCATGTGATTTAGAGCTTTGAGTGCCTTAGTCTGTTTTCAGTTACACTTTTGGTCTTTATTTGTTTATTTATTTATCATTTTATTTTTCTCTCCACAAGAATTTGGTAAAAGTAGATAAATAAAGGAGAAATTGTTTCAGTCAGAGAAAACTGGGAAAAGTGAAATCCAAACAGACTCTTCCTTTCCTAATACACAAACATATTGTGCAGTACTTGACAGTGTACATTTTTAAGAATATGCCTCAGAATTGACTTTCCTTTTGACTGATGTCACATCCAAGATGTACATGAGTTTGTTTCTTCATAATTTGGAGAAATGTAGCATTGCATCACTTGCACATAAATGGATCCTCTGCAGTGCCTTCAGAACGAGAGTCCAAACAGCTGATAAAAACATCACAATAATCTACACTCTAAAAATGCTGGGTTGTTTCAACCCAACTTTGGGTCAAAAATGGACTGACCCAACTTTTGGGTTAAAAATGTAATTTAAAAATTTAACCCAACAGCTGGATTAGTCCATATTTGACCCAAAGTTGGGTTGAAACAACGCAGCATTTTTTAGAATGCACAAATAATCCACACGACTCCATCTATAAACGTCTGCTGAAGCGAAAAGCTGCGTGTTTGTATGAAACAAACCCATCGTTACAATGTTCTTAACTTCAAACTGTTGCTTCTGGATAAAATATGAGTCCTCTATCCATATTGCTTTATTCAGTGATGAAGTCATCAAAGTTTTTATCAGCTGTTTGAATATGGATTCTGACGGCACCCATTCACTGCAGAGGATACATTGGTGAGCAAGTGATTTAATGCTACATTTCTCCAAACCTGTTCTGAAGTAACAAACATCTTGGATGGCCAGAGGGTGCATTTTCAACAGATTTTCATCTTTGGGTGAACTATTCCTTTTAGCCAAATAGCTGTTTAGGTGTTGTTTTAGACTACCGTAATACTGTAGGTAATGTGCCTTTCTAAAATCTTAATGCAGTTGTTATCTAATGCTGCTTAACATTGTCATAAAAGTTATGCAATATTAGCAAATAATTACAGATTTTCCACTCCGCTGTGACTCACATTTAGCTCTGATTCTGATTTGAAACACACACTTTATACCATCAAATAAATTCTTGATTGAACAAATCAAGTCCTGTCCAGCATTTTTTCTCATTATAGAAGTCAAATGAGTCGAGAATGTGGGTTCATGTTGACTTTGACAGCAAAAAAAGCAAAAGCAATCCTGTGTTAATCCATTTTTTCATTCGTTATACCTGGTTTGGGTCACATTCATAGATCACATCAGTTTTGTGCATTTCTAGTCATAAGAGGTTTAATGTGATTCTGATTCCTCTGTCCGACCAGGTCCAGTGACGGAAGTGAAGACTGATATTTACGTCACAAGTTTCGGCCCAGTTTCCGATGTGGAGATGGTGAGTGCTCTGAGATGTTTGTGAACAGGTTGGATTTGTGTGTGTACATGTGTGTGTGCACAAGCAGCTGTTATATAAGGTGTCATATCCATCCGCTGAGATATTATTAAAATAAATAATTCAGGCCTCTGATTCTGATTTGAAACACACACTTTATACCATCAAATAAATTCTTGATTGAACAAATCAAGTCCTGTCCAGCATTTTTTCTCATTATAGAAGTCAAATGAGTCGAGAATGTGGGTTCATGTTGACTTTGACAGCAAAAAAAGCAAAAGCAATCCTGTGTTAATCCATTTTTTCATTCGTTATACCTGGTTTGGGTCACATTCATAGATCACATCAGTTTTGTGCATTTCTAGTCATAAGAGGTTTAATGTGATTCTGATTCCTCTGTCCGACCAGGTCCAGTGACGGAAGTGAAGACTGATATTTACGTCACAAGTTTCGGCCCAGTTTCCGATGTGGAGATGGTGAGTGCTCTGAGATGTTTGTGATTATGTGTGAACAGGTTGGATTTGTGTGTGTACATGTGTGTGTGCACAAGCAGCTGTTATATAAGGTGTCATATCCATCCGCTGAGATATTATTAAAATAAATAATTCAGGTAGCTTGCCATTTAGATCAGTGCAAGGTGCAGTTATCTGCTTAGTCAGAGTGAATCAAGTACTGTGTGGCAGAGATTCAAAAAAACATTTGTGATTGAGTCAACAATTTCAGCAGGTATTTTCCCCTGAGAAGAATATGAGGTTCAGCACCTCGCACAAGAGCATAACAGCACTAAATGTGACCAAACTTACAGTGTTTAGAGCAGATTGGTACCTGCAGTATTAAAACCAGCAAAAAGGAATGCACTAAAGGACATTCAAAATCCATTTAATTTCCGTATTGTTATATGTTTCCAAGTGAAACAGAATATTCAGCTGGTTTTCTCCAGTACACTGAAAAAACAAAACAAAAAATTGTGTAGAAACAATTTTCAGAATTAGAAAGAAATGTCAAGTAACACATTCAATTAAATGTGAAATTTTGAAGTAGAATTTTTTTTTTATTGTATTTACTTGTAAAACATACTCCATCTTTGTTTTATTTACAACTTTGAAAAAAAAATCCTATAATATTATTGGTTAATGTTATTTTTCCCCACCCACGCAACCTTGTTGTGTTACAGTTACAGGGGATATTTTTTACAAAAAATGTGATGAGAAATGCTTGAGCGCATATTGAGACCCTTGACTTTAGTATACTCTAGTATTTTGAAGAATTTGCACAGTTTGAGACATTTCTTTAAAAAGTAAATAGGGTTCATTTTTATTTATTTATTTATTTTATTTTATTATTTACAAGGAAATTCTTTTTTGGAGGAATTTGATTGAAAATGCTTAAGTTCATGTTGAGACCTTGACCTGACTAGATTGCATACTTTGGTATTAATACTTTTGGTGAATCTGCACAGTTTGAGACATTTTTTAAATAGTAGCCTAAATAGGGTTCAAATTGGTGTTATGTCATTTTTAAGGGTTACAGTGGAGTTTTTACAAGAAAACTCTTTCTTGGAAGAATTTGATGAGAAATCCTTGAGTTCATATCAGGATTATTCTAAAAAGTAAATAGAGTTCATTTTGATGTTGTTTTTAAGGGTTACAGGGGAATTTGGCAGGAGCACAATTTGTCAGCGTGAGGGGAAGTGTTTGTTTAAGTGTGTAGACAGTGTTTTTGCAAGATTATGGTGGATTTTATATATTTTTTTTATTGAGAAGTTGCTTTTTACTGAACCACTCTAATGAAGCATTCTGTCAGGAGTAAGTCAGATTGATTTGTGTGCTGTTTTGACTGCTCTATATCTGTGCTTTTTTCCAGGAGTACACCATGGACGTGTTCTTCCGCCAGACATGGGTGGATAGGCGGTTGAAGTATGATGGCCCGGTGGAGATCCTCCGGCTAAATAACCTGATGGTGACCAAAGTTTGGACCCCCGACACATTCTTCAGGAACGGCAAAAGATCAGTGGCTCACAACATGACGGCACCCAACAGACTCTTCAGAATCATGAAGAACGGCACCATCCTATACACTATGAGGTACAGCACGCATACGCTGAAAAGAGTTTGGCAGACTGTATTTGCTCGTGGGTGACCGACGTTATGCCAAGTAGGATGTGTTCCTGGATCATCTTTTGTTGATCCTGCAACAACAGTTGTGTTCAGTGGAAAATGGCAGGTTGATATGAATGTTGTTGAAGCCTCAAACGCCACCCTAAGGCTAACATTACAATTCTAGCTATTTGAAAGAAAAGGATGTTGATCCAGCAACATGTCCTACTTGGTGTAAAGAACTTTGAAGGTGTTGCTGGACATCACATCCTCAATATTTTAACCATTTCTATCTGTGTTTTTTCCACAGGTTGACAATAATTGCAGAATGTCCAATGAGACTCGTTGATTTCCCAATGGATGGCCACTCCTGCCCTCTGAAGTTTGGCAGCTGTGAGGATTACACTATATATGTTGATTTTTTCACAGAACACTAAAGCATGATTTGAGGCTTCAGATATTTCAGAGTAAAGGAACATGGCAGTTTAAGTGTGTTTGGAGTGAGGAGAAGAACATTACTTATGAAGCATTTCTTGAAGAGCACTTAAATAATTCCTTCTTTAAAAATGGATTTCTCTCTCTCTTCACTGTCAGATGACTAAACAATTTATACGGGAAACAGAATTGATTATTTGAGGGTTTCTTTTGTGTGACCCTACAAATTCAGAATTGAAGTTCATCTATATGCTAGTGAACTTCTAAAAGCTGACAAAATTCACTTATAGCATGCGAATTTAAAATTCAAAAGCTTCCAGGAAAAGACCAAACCTATTGATAACGTGTTTGAATTTAATTGCATTTGTTTTTGTCCCGTCAAATGCATTCTAGAATGCAAATATCACTTCATCTTAAAACACACCAAAAACACACATTGGAAAGGTGGCCGATTTAGAATAGCATACTGCTATTGGGTAGTATGCTTGTATACTATTCAGAATTGAGACTGTGTTTGTCAAAACATGGCTATGTTCAGAACAGCACACTGTGCATACTATTTCTGCTGCATATAGTATATACACTACCATTCAAAAGTTGGAATCCTTGGGATGTTTTATGATTTTGAAAGTAGTCTCTTATGCTCATCAAGGCGGTATTTATTTGACCAAATACATTAATGCTGTAAAATAGCATTACATTTTAAAAGTACTGTTTTGTATTTGGATATATTGTAAAATGTAATTTATTACTGAAATACAAAGCTGAATTTTCAGCATCATTACTCCAGTCTTCAGTGTCACATGATCCTTCAGAAATCATTCTAATATGCTGATTTGCGGTTCAAAAAACATTTCTTATTATTACAAATGTTGAAAACAGTTCAAAAGAACAGCATTTATTTGAAACATCACTTTTGGCCAATTGAATGTGTCTGAATAAAAGTACTAATTTCTTTACTGACCCCAAAATAACAATAGTATATACAGTAAATGGTATGTACATTTTATGTGTGGAATAGCTGAATTGCTTACTACATTTGCCAAAAAATTGTAGTGTTCAGCAGAGCATACTGCATGGGATACTGCGTCCCACAATGCAATGTGCTCAACTTGACCATTCAAGTAATGTTACAATTTTTTGTCAGACTGTCAAGTTTTGTATAAATAAATATTTATTTAAATTTAAATAGCATGCAGTATTCAATGTTCACTGCATAGTATGCAGTAAGCTAGTATTGCATTCTTAACATAGGATCTTTGAGTTTTTATGGTACAAAAAAATAAATTCAGTATGTTGCCCTGGCTGCTAGTTTAAACACTGAATAGTTCTTCATCTAGAATTACTTTTTCATAGTTGGCTAAGCAAATACAAACTCATGACATTCATAATTTTATTTGGGAGAGAAAAAAAATACATATATAAATACAGTATATACACAGTGTATAAACTACAAGTTTAATTTAAGAGCAAATACCTTAGAGGTCTGAAAAGCAGAAAGGAGAAATGACTTTTTCTTCCGAGTGTGTAAATACAGAGTTGGTTCATATTCTAAAAACTGAACAAAGAATCTCCAAATCAGCAGGACTGTTCATGACAGTCGGTCAGCAAAAATGAAAACGAAAACGTGAAAAAAAAAGTTCAGGAACAGAAAGAGAAATCTGAAAAGAAGCCGTAATCTCAAATGGGAATATGTGGCAGGTGGGTAGGGCTCTTTTATGGAGACTGCTGGAAGATCTGGAGATAAAATCAGTCCAGAGAGCTCCTGCTGGCGCATTGTGACATTGTGATGGAGGACGATCTCAATGTTTTGGTTTTTTAGTGGTGACTGCACTAATGTGCTGATGGATATCTTGCTCTCTCTTCTTTGTCTTCTTATACATCTTTCTGTCCTTTCTCTGGGCCGGAGGGGAAGCATCTAGACAGAGAGCTGTTCATCCCCTGTAGAGCCGAGAAGGTCACCACAGCTTTCCCTCCTGCCCCGGGACTGCGCAGACCTATAACAGCTCTCGTTTTCAGTTTACAATCTTTCCTTTGCACTCTGATACAGTTTTCTGCTCCTCTCTCATGTCATGTCATTCTCTTTCTTCTGTATTCATGTATTAGTGATGTTTGCTCGGGTCACTATCATTCAGAGTTAGGATTACTGATTTGAACAAGAACTATACCTTAAAACCGAAATTGTAGTACCATTATCAAAGGCTGCGATTTAATTAAATAAATATATGCGCTGCATGTTTCAGAGTGAAGCACGGCACTTTGTTCGTTTACAAACGCATCTTGTGATCTGGTGTTTTCAGTGTCTCAGATTGTAGTAAAACTCATATCTGCACCTGCTCTGAGTTTGGGTCACATTTTTGAACACCGCATACACCAACCATCTTCCCAAAGCTTGTTACGGTGCTTGATATTGCAATCTGATGTTTGTTATCATAATAGTTGAAATGTAATTGTCATAATTATAAACACACTGGTTTATATCACAAATAGTTTTGCGGATACTGCATTTCCTTACTTCCTTAGCTCTGCGTTCTTACTTTCTGACATAAAAACTCATTGGTTTAATGTTTAATAATTAAGAGATTAAGGCAGCCATACATATTGGTATTGTGATTTTATAGTAGTAATGTAAATTAAAATAATATGTATTATTATTATTATATTTTTCATTAATTTTTTCATTTAACATTCATTTTGTTTCAAGTAAAGAAAATGGTTTTATTTTAGTTCATTTTAATAACCCTGGAAACCACTTAGCAATGCCCTGGCAACGAGAAACAAAACATAAGCATCGTGACAGAAACTTTTGTGCTGACATGTTCTAGTCTTCAGAATATAGTTTGTAATTATACTCATGTTTTACTGATCCATCTCTTTCTCCCGCATGGTTCGTTCAATTCCCCTCGAAAAATTCTGTCATGCCCAGCGTTACTTTGGATTAAAACTTGCTTAGTCTCTCTGTCCCCTCTCTCTTCTCTCTTCTCTCTTGCTCACTCTCTTTCTATTTTCATGGGGTTGTTGGTGGATGTCTTGGAAGCACTTCCTCTGCTCTATTTCCCAGTGTGTGGGGGTTCAGAAAAGAAAAGTAGAAAGAGACAGCGAGGAGGAGAGAAAAAAAGAGAATTAAGGAAGATAGAGATGATGATGATGATGATCTCAAAGGAGGACAGGAGCACAGGGAACGTGCTGACGGACTCCCGGATGTGCAGTCAGTCTCTACTCCGAGAGCATGAGCCGTTTGATGTATGGATTTCTCCCCCATAAATGAAATCTGTCTGATTCCGAGCAGGAGAACATCTCAGCGGATCTGATTTCTGTGTCAGGATGATTGTTCTGTTTGGCTCGGATTTGAGATTGGCACGCACAGTGCAGGAAGTGGGCAGCAGTGAGGAAAGATCAGTGTCTAAGCGGCGACCGTTCGACCCTGAGCTCGAGGACTAATATGCACAGTTACATGCGTAGGCATACCCAGAGGAAGATTTATTGCTCAAAGATTGCTCTTTCATAGCTCAGGAGACATAATAAAGTTCTCAAATATGTTTAATTGAAGTATTAACTCCTTTATTTCCTTTGGTGAAATAAAAATAGCTAAATCGAGACAGTTGTTGATATGGTGGAGTTCGTTCTTCCTATTGCCAAATTGCAGCAGTTTTTGGAAAGAAAAATCACAAATGAGATCTCTTTAATATCTTTTTTGTTTCTTCCTCAATATTTTTGTCTTGTTTTCCAGGACAAATATCTAAACATTCTTAAATCAAGATATATTCACTTAAGACTTAAGGTATTAAGTCTTGTTTTCTGAAAAATGCATAAAAATGAAGAAGGCTTATGCTTAAAACAAGAAAGAATGTCAGTAAGGTTATAAAAAATAAACTTAAACTTCAAGGGCAAAAAATACATTTTTCTTACAGATAATTGCAGATAATTGTTCTTGTTTAAAGCATGAACTCACTTAATTTTGATCAGTTTTTCATAAAACAAAACTTAATAGTATTTTTACTTCTCTAGTAAATGCATTGTTATTTAAGAATGTTTAGATACTATACTGAAAAAAGACAAAAATTAGGTTAAATCTTGGAAGTTAGAATTATTATTTATTTATTTAATTATTATTTATTTTTTTGCAGTGTGGCAATGAAATTAAATTATCTTGATCAAATAAATCTCACATGTAACTCCACTAGAACAACAATCTCACCAATGTCTCAAACTGTGCAGAGATTTGCCAAAGCTACCAAAATCTGCAATCATAAATCTCAATATAAACAAATATTTCCCAGTCATCTGCAGTTTCCAGCAATATGCCAGCAATTGCCTAATTTGTTTTCAGTTTACCCAAGGCTTTTTTTACTCTGGAGAAAAATCGGAGCATCAGGAGACTGCAGCAGAAGTGTCCATTTACTCTCTGTTTAATCTCATTAGTCTTTTTCATTTCCACTGGGAATTACACAATGCCACAGATATGGTCTGATTGTTAGTGTTATGCACACATATATTCTATATATCATGTAAGGGCTTGTTATGACAGCTCTGTTGTGTGTGTCAGATGCCTACCCAAAGACTGAGATGATCTACACCTGGACCAAAGGCCCGCAGCATTCTGTGGAGGTCCCACCTGAGTCATCCAGCCTGGTACAGTACGACCTGATCGGACAGACTGTGTCAAGCGAGACTGTAAAATCTATCACAGGTACAGACACATAACATACTCTCACAGTGACACCAACATTTTTGCTGCAATATCTTGCAATATACAGAATACAACTGTCCAAATGTTTGGGGTCTGTAAGATTTTCTGTGTTTTTGAAAGAAGTCTCTTATTATTCTCACCAAGGCTGCAATTTGATCAAAATAACAGTTTGAAATTCAATTTTAAATAACTGTTTTATCTGCATTTATTTAATCAAATACAGTAATAGTTTTGTATTTGAATATATTTGAAATGTAATTTATTGCTGTGATGGAAAACAAAATTTTCAGCATCATTACTTCAGTGTCACATGATCCTTCAGAAATCATTCTAATATGCTGATTTGCTACTTATTATTATTATCAATGTTGAAAACAGTTGTGCTGCTTCAAATTTTTGTGGAAACATTGTTTTAAGATTCTTTGATTAATAGTAAGGTTCATTTAAATTAGAAATATTGCATTGCAAATATATTTACTGCCACTTTTGATCAATTTAATACATATCTTGTTTAAAAAAAAGTATTAATTTCTTTCAAAAAATTGTACTGACCCCCAAACTGTTGAACAGTAATGTAGTGCTTGCAATGCTGCAGTGTATTGATATTTCTCAAACACTGTGGATTTGAAACCCCAAACTCAATGACATCACAATAGAATTAGAATTGTGATTGGTCAAGTTTTTTCTTTTTACTCCGTATTTTTAACCATTTATAGCAATTTGTCCAAACCAGCCCTGATCATATGACAGGACATTTTGTCAATTGCTTGGTTTCTATGTATGTGTCCATCTAGCTGTAAATCACTGGTAAATAAAATCCTGCTCTCCATAACCATATATTAAAAAAAGCTCTGACCGGATGTTATGTTACAATATGCAGCACTTTCACTTTCAGTACAACAAAAGGGCCTGTTGCTGTCAGGGGCCTTACCTTGTCTGCGTCTGGTTAGAACAAAGTGTTAGTCTTAACAGTTGCCCCTTTCACACATAGTCTTTACTGGTAAATTACCAGTAAATTACCGTTAAGAGATCATGTGTGAACAGGACCTTTTCAAAAATACCAGTAAATTTGTTCCGGCAATTTACCGGTATGAGAAGTTGATCTTCTGCACCGTTTCCCCCTCTGAGCCGCCAACACCATTTTCATGCAAATACGGACAAAAATGCTGCTTCCTTCTGTCATATCCTCCTTCCTCCCTCTATCCGTTTCTCTTTCTTTATGCTTCTCTTCGTTTTTTTTTCTTTTTGTTTTATTCCACTGTGTGTAACCCTGGGTTAATATATTTTTTAACCCCGGGTAAAGGCCAGTTTTGAAAGTGGGTTAGCATCACTTTTTACCCAGATTGCAGTGCTAAAGATATTCGGTGTGGAATATGATGATAAATTGTTTAGCAAATAACAGGCAACTATGAGCTGCTTTAAAGCTGGCATCATTAAATATTCATGCATTTTGTACAGTCATAAAAACGTTAACACTTTCACACAGCGGTTAAAAATTTCAGGTGTTTTCTTTTTTTTCTTCTTTTTTTTTTTGCATTTTCTGTTGTATGTATGTATGTATGTATGTACAGTAGTACACTATTGTCGTACACTAGAGTTTGGGGTCAGTATGTTTTTTTTTAAAGGGGTCCTATTATGCTTTTTCACTTTTTTAATTTTAGTCAGTGTGTAGTATGTATGTTTGGGCATTAAAAAGATAAAAGTTACAAATCTCGCAGCGCAAATCTGTAAATGAATATTCCGAAGTGAAGTAAACTTCAACGGATTTCCCCTGCTCAGGGAGTAGGGAGCAATGCACACTGTGTAGGGACCATGTCAATCGGAACACAGTTCATGCACGGAGCTCACGAGATGATCTGAATCAGGTGTGTTAACAAAGAGAGACATGCACAACATGCAGAACGGGAGTACGCGAGGACTGGAATTGAGAACCGCTAATCTAGAACAATTCTTACAAATAACAACATCACGTAGCTGGGCGCCGCGGACAGATGCCGAACAGCGGTGTGCCTACACTCATAGAAAATAATGTGTTCGAATTTTAAAGACGTGGCGCGACGCTGCGCTTCTCGTCCGGTGTGCGACCGCCTGAAACGCTGTTTTTTTTTCACCTCCGTTCACCTCACTTCCGAAAGCGGATGATGTCAGGAAACAGTGGTTGCAATTTACTTTTTAACTCTGTTCCTGAGCATTATAACCCCAATTTGCTATTGTGTGCTGCGCATTTTACTGAGGACAGCTTCCACATCACGAGTGAGAAGTGCCGGATTCGCCAAAAGTTTTTGTTGAAAGACAGAGCAAGGGGCGTGGCAGTACTGAAACACCGTCTAAGTTGTTCGCCAATCACAACTCACTGGGACAGCTAACCAATCACAACACATTTTGTTTTTCGGAAGGTGGACCTTCATCAAAGCCGGAACTAATCGAGCCGTTTGTGCCAGCCTGGGGAGAAAAATATCTTAATAATGTAAATTATGTGAAAAATAATGCGTTTTTTCAAACCACCAAGCATGAGAGCATGTTCTAGTACACCCCCAAAACAAAATCAAGACTTTGTAAAAGAGCATAATAGGACCCCTTTAAGAAATACTACAGCAAGGATGTATTACATTTATTAAAGTGACAGTAAAGATATTTATAATGTTACAAAAGATTTCTATTTCAAAATGCTGTTTTTGAACTTTGTATTCATTAGAGAATCCTGAAAAAATTGATGTATCATAGTTCACAAAAATATTAAGCAGCACAACAATTTCAATATTGATGATAATAATAATAAGAAATGTTTCTTGTGCATCGAATCAGCATATTAGAATGATTTCTGAAGGATCATGTGACACTGAAGACTGGAGTAATGATACTGAAAATTCAGCTTTGATCACAGGAATAAATTACATTTTAAAATATATTCAAATAGAAAACATTTCAGTTTTAATTTGTAATAATATTTCACAATTTTGCTGTTTTTACTGTATTTTTAATCAAATAAATGCAGCCTTGGTGAGCATAAGATACTTTTTTTAACCAGAATAAGTGTGAAACACTTGAATCTATCTTTCTGTAGGGATTTTTCTGTTAGTTTGGTGAGTCTTTAGTCCTCATCCAATTATGCTGTGATGCCTCACGAGCTACTGAATCATAACATGTGTCACCATGTGTATCGTATCATGAGGTAATTGGCGATTCCCAGTACTATGAAAACGAGAGAGAGAGTTTGGTTTTTGTGTGTTGCAGGATCAAATTAACACAAAATGTAAGCCCGTGTATGCCTATTATATTTTCACATTTCATAAAAAATGTTTTTCTCTAATTCATCAAAAGTTTTTTTTTTTTTTCAAAAGATGGTTTCAGACACTGTGAAAAAATTATTTACTCATTAATTTTGTCTTGTTTTCCAGTAAAATATGTAAACATTCTTAAATGAAGATAAAAATGAGTTCTTGTTTTCTGAATAGTGTATCAAAATTAAGTGAGTTTATGCTTAAAACAACCTCTATCAATGAATAAAAAAAGAATAATCTTTGAATTAGGTTTAATTTTCTTACCCCATTGGCATATGTTATCTTGTTTTAAACAAACTTCATTTTTAGTTTTTTTTTTTTTTAGAAAACAAGACTTAATAGCTCAGTTATTTTGCTTCTCAAGTAAATATATCTTGATTAAAGAAGGTTTAGTATTTGTACTGGAAAACAACACACACACACACATATATATATATATATATATAATATATAATATATATTTTTTTTTGCAGTAATTCTTTGCTTAGCTGATTATACAAATAATCATTAGTTCGACTATAGTATGTTGCGGTTTATGTAAATCCAGCAGAATTTACACTTTTTTTGTAATGTGCAAATTAACAATAGAAACAAGCTTGCCATGTTCACAATACAAACAAGAATGTCTTATTTTGTGTACAGCCAAAAGCACAGCACAAAAAGAAAAGGCCTTTCTCGTGTGTGGTGCATGTGTGGAGTTGTACACTACTAGTTTATTTTCTTCTTCGTGCTAAACTGTCCTGTTCATTTCCATAGGCATTTTAGCACCATGTGCCTGATCAGTCCTGGACGCTCTTATGTGCTGTGACCTTATCTGTCTGCTGCTAACACGACAAAACACTTCTACATCCGCAGACACTCGTTCACGCTCGTGCATGCACCTCCTGTTTCCTTCCACACTTCACCTGGGGCACTAGAGATGCTTAGAATAGCACGCTCTCATTCTCCACTGGAAAAGTGTAACAATGACCCACCTTCAGATGGCTACTAACAGAGCGGTGCGCTTGGACCCGGGCCAGAGGAGCGGATTTTCATGTCCTAGATGGAAGTGTGCTTAGTGAAGGGGTTTCTGGGTAAAGACAGAGTGGGGTTTTGATGGCTGGTGCATGTTCAGAATGGACGCAGCAGGAGACCACAATGATCTGTTGTTTATCTGTTCTGGGATGGCTTCCATATTTCGCTTTCTCTACACATGGCTCTAGTGTATTCTGGAAGGATACTGGCTTCCAAATGGCTCCATTACTGATTGTTTTTTTTCTACCTTTGTCAGCACAATGTAGTTTGAAATTAGTTTGGGAGTGTTTCATAAAAGGGTTTGCTTTGTTTTTTGTCAACCCAGAACGTTTAAGATAGAAAAATGGGTCAAGATCAGAAATAGTCAAAGTTATGATGTCAAGAGCCATGATGACATTATCATATGAAGACCAATATTTGCATATCCGTGCCATACACTTCAAAATAATTATTTTCTAAGTCGTCAAAATTAAGGCTTAAAACAAGACCATATATCTGCCAGCGGGGTAAGAAAAAGAATCTTGTTTACCCTTTGAATTTAGTTAATTTTTTACCCCATTTTTTTCTTCTTCTTATATATTTTAAGTAAATATATCTTGATTTAAGAATGTTTAGATAATAGATATTTGTACTGGAAAACAAAAGTCAAAAATACTTAGGAAGAAATTGTTATTCATTTGTTTTGCGGTGTATACAGTACCTAATGTGCATAAGTGTCATAGAGGGCAAGTACATTTAGTCTTAAAGCTACAGTTGTCACGTGTTGGTTTCTGTTTAGTTCTTGTCTGTCAATATTTGGTTCGTTTCCTGCTCATTTAGTTAATCATCATTCATTTGTTTCCACCTGTGTTGTATTAATCATCTCGTTTGCTCCATAGTTGCCTGCCCTTTATAAGCCCTCAGTTTCTGTCATTTCCTTGTCTTGGATTAATGTTATTTTTCAATGGTTTACGTGGTTGATGCTAATTAAAAAGACTCATTTATGCCTTCGTTGTGCACAATTACTACAACCACAACCCCATGACCACAGTAGTGTGTTTAATTTGAAGAAAAAATTGTCATGAAAAGTGTAATTTTTTGAATGGTGAAAAACTTTTTTTTTTGCAACACTTGCTAAAAAAGAGAAGGGGGGCGGGGTTAAAAATGTAGAATACTATAATAATACTGTATTAATGATAGTAAATACTGTCATTATTTACTCATCTTTTACTATTTTCAAGTGTTTCAAACTCGTTTGACTTTCGTTCTTCTGTGGAACGCAAATTAAATTTAATGATATTATGAAAACATATTGTATGGTGAAAAGGTACTGTCAATCTCATAAAAGGGCAAAAACACTATAAAGTTGTCATTATGGGAGCTTTTTGTGTGGAACAGATGAAGTTTTAAATGATTATGGGCTGAAAATTTTGCCATCTGCCATAGCTCTCAAATCTCATTTGTGTTTTTGTTTATAATTAGCGATCAGTTATGAGACACGTGAGAACCAATGTTGTTTGGTGTCATTGACAAAATCTATCATGGCGCATCTTCAGAAGCCAAGCTCACAGAATACCATTTAAAAAAAAACATAGTATGGAATGACATGAGGGAGAGGAAATATTGACAGAATTGTCTTTTTCGGTAAACGTTTACTATAAATTTGTTACTTTTTCTGTTAGTTAGCAGCTGATTGAAGGTCGTGTCCTGCTTTGTAACCCTTTTTGTTTGTTCCATTATCCGTCTTTGCTCATTTCGGTGACAGAGCTCTCTCATTCTTCTCAGCCAGTCGCACAAGAGCACTAAAGCAAAGCTCTCACAGCACTGTGGACCCGGCCGTGCAAAACATATCCAGCACCCCTGGCTAAATGTAGCCTGTGATGTACCTATTGATCGTTCCAGATCTGTCTGCACGTGGGCGTTTGAGAGTGCGCTGTGATCGTGTGAAGTTTTCCAGAGAGTGTGTGGATTATTCTCCAGAGCTCTGAGCTCATCTTATAGGCAGTTTTACCATGGGTTTGATTTGGTTTGAACCCGAGTTCGATGCAAATCCCGCAGGTCTGAGAGCCACCGTGAGCACTAAGTAACTCAGGTGAAGATGTTAACTTCACTGTTTTATTCATGGTTTTGTCCTTTTGCTGTTACTAACAAAAATGAACATACATGGAACAACACTTGTGTTTGTCTACGGCAGGTGTGAGGAAAGAGATGCAAAGAATGCTGTTCACTAAAGGCATTTTCTGCAGAGACGAGCAGCTTTGAGACGTTTTATAATATAATAGGGTGCAAATATAGAGATCATGCCCAGGTCATGCTTCACCCCACATTTATTTATTTGTTTGATTTTTATTTACTTAGCTGCATTTAACAAATTTTTTTGTAATTATTTAAATATTTTAATACATTTATTTTTAATAAAATATGACTTTTTTTTTTTTTAAATATATTCGAATCATTTAAAATATTAAGAAAATGAAGCAGTATTGGATTCATGAGGTTATTATTTCTCAATATTTATGAAAATTAAACATTCCCCACAAATGTATACTACATCTATCATTGATGTTATAATTGTTATATATACAGTGGGTACGGAAAGTATTCAGACCCCCTTAAATTTTTCACTCTTTGTTATATTGCAGCCATTTGCTAAAATCATTTAAGTTAATTTTTTTTCCTCATTAATGTACACACAGCACCCCATATTGACAGAAAAACACAGAATTGTTGACATTTTTGCAGATTCATTAAAAAAGAAAAACTGAAATATCACATGGTCCTAAGTATTCAGACCCTTTGCTCAGTATTTAGTAGAAGCACCCTTTTGATCTAATACAGCCATGAGTCTTTTTGGGAAAGATGCAAGATGTTGTTTTTATTTTTCAATATTTGTATGACAATTAAACGCTCTCCACAAATTCTCATTTTAAATACTTTTTCGTAATTTCTAGATGATTTTCATTGCGGCAGTTTAGTTGTATTTTTACTGTATTACAGTATAAAAAGTACTGCAATACAGTGTTTTCATGAAAATCAACAAAAGCTGACTATCATGTATAATTTCTTTACACATTACATTAATGAGTATAAGATTGTTTGCATTACGATAATGAGAATTGAGGGCAAATGTGCTTAGTTGTCATGAAAACAAATAGAAATGGTCATTTAAAAAAAAAAAAAAAAAGTTATTTGAAACTTAAATTTTGAATTGAAATCTGACTCAGACATGTTCTTGACAGGTTTCATTTCAAGTGGAAAGAAAACAGCTGTCACACCAACCAACAAACAAATTAATAGTGTGAAAGCGCCTGTTTATGTCATTGTTTATTACTAACGTCTTGCAAACTCAATACAGAGAGAATATGTAGGAGAGCGTGTTTGTATTGTGTGCGGGGCTGGCTTGATGTGCGTTTTCTTATGTTTTATTAGCGTGTGCATGTGGGTGTATGGGTGAGTCGAGAGAGATTCTGTGTGTGTGGGGGAGGAGAAGGGATACTGGCTGCCTCCGTGATTTGTGTGTTGGTGTATATGTGTGACTCACGTCTGGCATGCTCACTGCTCTGTGGCAGGGTTTAGTTTCACTGAGAGAGAAACCTTCCAACTTAAGACATCCAGGTTAAGAGTGAATTCCTGACTCCCCCTGGTGGTTCCAAGTGTTATTGCTGGAGAAATCTACTCCTTTTGGATCTGACCTTTAACATTTATGTCAGGCCCACAGGATGACTAAATAAACCTAGAACATGGACCCCAAAAAAAAAAATAAAAAAATGCTTCGAGAGGTGTAAAAAAAAAAAAAGTGACGTGACATGTGGCCAAGTATGGTGACCCATACACCATTAGTGCTCTGCATTTATCCCATCCAAAGTGCACACACACAGCAGTGAACACACACCCGGAGCAGTGTGCAGCCATTTTTGCTGCGGTGCCCAGGGAGCAGTTGGGGGTTCAGTGCCTTGCTCAAGGGCACCTCAGTCGTGGTATTGAAGGTGGGAGAGAGAAGCTGTACATTCACTCCCCCCACCTACAATCCCTGCCGGTACGAGACTCGAACCCGCAACCTTTGGGTTACGAGTCCGACTCTAACCATTAGGCCACGACTTCCCCACAGAAGTTCTGAAGGCTGAACATTGTGTGGTGTATCATTAGGTGCGCAGGACAGTCCCCCCATTTTAAAAAAATGCACATGCGAATAATAAAATAAAAATTAAGAGGAAAATGTTTCCCCTACGTATTGTTGTGTGTGCCAGTTATTCCAAGAAAAATAAATAAATAAAATTAAAAAAAGGGCTCGCAACTGCCGAAATACTTTCTGACATCAAAAATCCCTTTATTTGTCAAGTCTTTTCACAGCCCAGGTATTATCATTTACGCTTTAAAAAAAATAAAGGTTTCAAAAGAGGATTTTTGCAGTGATGCCATAGAACAACCATTTTTGGTTCCCCAGAGGACCTTTTAATGATCCGTTAATATAGAAAACAATTTAATCCGTTTAATAGAAACTTTTTTCTTAGTGTGAAGAACATGTTAATCTAAAGAAACTTTGGTAACACTTTATTTTAGGATCGCTTAACTAGTTGCATGCATATTAGCCATTTATTAGTACTAATTAAGCACATTCTACATCTCTAATTCTACCCAATACCTAAACTTAAGTACTAATTATTAATAAGCAGCGAATTAGGAATTTATTGAGGGAAAAGTCAGTTAATCGTGAATAAGTGTTCCCTATTCTAAAGGGTTACTTTATAAACTTTTTCCGCTACAAATAACTTTTTGCGCAGTCAAGGTTTAATGGATGTTAAAGGTTCTTCATGCCATCAATACCAATAAAATTTCCTTTATTTTTAAGAGTGCATCGTGTTTCCCAGCTAACAAAAATATGTTTTAAGAACATTTTAATTATGTTCCCATTAAGTTTAAAAGCGTTATTTAGAAACTTCCAATTTTTTTAAAGGTTTTAAAAATGCTTTTCCTTGGTAAAGCAAACATTATGTGAATGTTACTTTTGAATGTTCTCTAAACATTCTCAGACAAGTAGTAACGTTAAAAAAAAAAAAAAAAGTTAGACGAATATCCAACTGAGACATTTCAGAAAAAAAAGCATTCCATGAACAATGTATAAATAAGTTGTGCTAATGTTTTGAGAGCATTACAGACCAGATAACTTTGAACAAATGTTCCATTACTGGATAAAGGTTTGAGAACTGAGCTCTGAGAAGCTTCCGTTTAGCTGGGTTTATGGAAACGCATCTGGTTATGGGTTTAAAATTGGTTGTGAATATCATTTCATGTTTACTTCAAAGGGATAGTCTTGCTAAAAATTAAAAGTCTGTCATCATTTACTCACCCTCATGTTTTTCCAAACCCATATGAGATTCTCTCTTCTGTTGAACACAAAAGACGATATTTTGAAGAATGTTGGTAACCAGACTGTTGCTAGTTGTAATGAGGATTCAGTGACGTTGGGATCCATGTGCAGCTTTATTAACAAACAGATTCAAAGTTCAATCAACAGTATACAAGTGCAACGTAGGCAAGGCAGAATCATAACCTGAGTCCATGCAAAGGGTCGAGGCAGGCGGCAGACCGAGAAGAGAACAAATCCAATAAAAATGCAAGGTCAAAGAGGCAGGCAGCGAACGATCAGATGGATCTAGACAATCCAGGTAGGCAGCAGGTAATCAAACAAAGTATAAACGCTCAAAAATGTCAGCAGTAGCCCGAAAAAAAAAAGAAAAAAAAACAAGACTTCGCAACGAGGGTATTGTAGGCACTGATTAAATAGTCATGATAACAATAAGCAACTGTGCATGTAATCAGTCTCAGGCATGGGGTGATGGGAAATGAAGTCCTTAAGAACAGTTAGTACTCCGGTGACGGTTCCCTTTGGTGGTGATCGGAGGGAGCCACAGAGGCTTGATTTGTGACACTAGTAGCCAGTGATTTTCATAGTAGGAAAAAAATCCTATGGAAGTCAATGGCTACCAGCAACTGTTTGGTGTCCACATTCTTCAAAATATCTTCTTTTGTGTTCAGTAGAAAAAAATAAACTCATATAGGTTTGGAATGACTAAAGCTAAGTAAATAATGACACAGTTTTAATTTTTGGGTGAACATTCCCTTTAAGTGGAAGATCTCTTCTTTAGAGTGGCTTTCTTTGAATTGTTCTTTCAATGTGTCTTATTGTGTCTTTATAACCCATTGCTTCTGTTAGCCTAATGTTATGGACTTTTGTGGTAAACTGATGGGGCACTAATAGTTTTGCTCATCAAATTGCCTTGATGTTAAACTCTCAGCAAATTACACTGTTGTACGGTGGTCAGTTTTAAAGCACTCCCGAGGAAAAGGGAATAAAGGCATGATCGCTAATGGACACTTATGGACTATTGGAGTGATTCTCAAACAGTGTGTTTTCATTTATGATTTGCAGTCAGAGGTGAAGCATTTTTACCTGGTTATAAGCAATAACGATTTTGAAACACACATTATGTACTATCATTTGGTAGAAATTACCATTAAAATGCAGTATGCTCATATCAATTCATCACAGACTACATTAATTATCAAAAGCACATCAAATAAAGTGGTTCACAGCCTCTCAAATCACCAATATTTCTCTTCCCCCTTTTCTCCCTCTCTGTCTTCTGCTCCTCATAACACACATTTTTATTTGTCGAGTAAGGATGGGGATCTTTACAGTGAATGTGAAAGTCTGAGCAGACGCAGGTTAACAGAGCTCATATGACTCAGTCGGTGTGCTCAGCACAGCAGGAACTGTACGTTCGACTTCATACACGTTACAAATAATCCAGCCTGGGAATTCACAACATATGCCATCAATACCAATAAAATTTCCTTTATTTTTAAGAGTGCATCGTGTTTCCCAGCTAACAAAAATATGTTTTAAGAACATTTTAATTATGTTCCCATTAAGTTTAAAAGCGTTATTTAGAAACTTCCAATTTTTTTAAAGGTTTTAAAAATGCTTTTCCTTGGTAAAGCAAACATTATGTGAATGTTACTTTTGAATGTTCTCTAAACATTCTCAGACAAGTAGTAACGTTAAAAAAAAAAAAAAAAGTTAGACGAATATCCAACTGAGACATTTCAGAAAAAAAAGCATTCCATGAACAATGTATAAATAAGTTGTGCTAATGTTTTGAGAGCATTACAGACCAGATAACTTTGAACAAATGTTCCATTACTGGATAAAGGTTTGAGAACTGAGCTCTGAGAAGCTTCCGTTTAGCTGGGTTTATGGAAACGCATCTGGTTATGGGTTTAAAATTGGTTGTGAATATCATTTCATGTTTACTTCAAAGGGATAGTCTTGCTAAAAATTAAAAGTCTGTCATCATTTACTCACCCTCATGTTTTTCCAAACCCATATGAGATTCTCTCTTCTGTTGAACACAAAAGACGATATTTTGAAGAATGTTGGTAACCAGACTGTTGCTAGTTGTAATGAGGATTCAGTGACGTTGGGATCCATGTGCAGCTTTATTAACAAACAGATTCAAAGTTCAATCAACAGTATACAAGTGCAACGTAGGCAAGGCAGAATCATAACCTGAGTCCATGCAAAGGGTCGAGGCAGGCGGCAGACCGAGAAGAGAACAAATCCAATAAAAATGCAAGGTCAAAGAGGCAGGCAGCGAACGATCAGATGGATCTAGACAATCCAGGTAGGCAGCAGGTAATCAAACAAAGTATAAACGCTCAAAAATGTCAGCAGTAGCCCGAAAAAAAAAAGAAAAAAAAACAAGACTTCGCAACGAGGGTATTGTAGGCACTGATTAAATAGTCATGATAACAATAAGCAACTGTGCATGTAATCAGTCTCAGGCATGGGGTGATGGGAAATGAAGTCCTTAAGAACAGTTAGTACTCCGGTGACGGTTCCCTTTGGTGGTGATCGGAGGGAGCCACAGAGGCTTGATTTGTGACACTAGTAGCCAGTGATTTTCATAGTAGGAAAAAAATCCTATGGAAGTCAATGGCTACCAGCAACTGTTTGGTGTCCACATTCTTCAAAATATCTTCTTTTGTGTTCAGTAGAAAAAAATAAACTCATATAGGTTTGGAATGACTAAAGCTAAGTAAATAATGACACAGTTTTAATTTTTGGGTGAACATTCCCTTTAAGTGGAAGATCTCTTCTTTAGAGTGGCTTTCTTTGAATTGTTCTTTCAATGTGTCTTATTGTGTCTTTATAACCCATTGCTTCTGTTAGCCTAATGTTATGGACTTTTGTGGTAAACTGATGGGGCACTAATAGTTTTGCTCATCAAATTGCCTTGATGTTAAACTCTCAGCAAATTACACTGTTGTACGGTGGTCAGTTTTAAAGCACTCCCGAGGAAAAGGGAATAAAGGCATGATCGCTAATGGACACTTATGGACTATTGGAGTGATTCTCAAACAGTGTGTTTTCATTTATGATTTGCAGTCAGAGGTGAAGCATTTTTACCTGGTTATAAGCAATAACGATTTTGAAACACACATTATGTACTATCATTTGGTAGAAATTACCATTAAAAAGCAGTATGCTCATATCAATTCATCACAGACTACATTAATTATCAAAAGCACATCAAATAAAGTGGTTCACATGTCATGAGTATGCATACATTCACACACTTTTTTATAATACACAACCATGAACACACATGCATTCTCAAACATGCACACTCGCAATTTAGTAACCTTTGTTACTAGTTATTGTCATTAATATTTTTAATGTGCTTTTCTCACAGGAATCACCACAGTTCTCACGATGACGACCCTCAGCATCAGTGCTCGGCACTCTCTGCCCAAGGTCTCGTACGCCACTGCCATGGATTGGTTCATTGCTGTGTGTTTCGCTTTCGTTTTCTCTGCTCTCATCGAGTTTGCGGCTGTGAACTACATCACCAATGTTCAGGCAGAGAGAGCCAAGAGAAAACAGGCCAAAGCCGCCACCGCAGCCAAGAGCTCCACGCCGTCAGGCAAAGCCAAAGACACAGAGGAGGTTCTACAGGTGAGATTATGTTACACACATTAAAGAGACTACATATACGTTATAAAACACGTAGTTCTGGCTTTAAAATTTGATGCAATGAGCCATGTCTGAAAGTGTGTGAAATGTTACGCTGTACATCAATTCAATTATTAATGTGCCACATTGCACAGTTCTCATGCTGCCTCTTGAGAGGTTCCTGCTTACATATAAGCTCAAAAGACATTTTCAATGGAAAACGTGGACATGTTGGCAAATTTCATTTTTATTATTAGTATTATTATTTTATTTTTTTTAAGCATTAAACACTGCCTTCAAATCCTCTCGAAAGGTTCCTGCTTGCTGGTACTTAAAGCATGAAATACATTTTAAGTAGAAAAAAAAGCAGGACTTGTTTTCAGGTCTGGTGCAACAAAATGTGCATTAGATGTGTAATTGATGCTTTATGTATATTATCATATGTTATTATATTATCTATGTTCAGTATTTTATGGCAAGTGTAATCAATATTTTTCATCAGCAGCACGCAAAATGCAAGCAAGCAAAATGTATTGTATTTCTTAAAATAAATATTAAAATAAAATCAATATTTTTCATTTTGCATAAAGACAATGAAATCTATTTCATAAGCCATTAATTAAGTAATGTATTTATATTTGCATTATTGTCATGACAAAGCACACTCTGCATGCAGGTTATCATTACTGTACAGCATACCTTTTTCTGTCATTTGATTTTTTTTTTTTATCATTCTCAGTGGTGATTCTCATTAGTTTTGACTAATATATCTTTTTTTATTTCTGTATTTATGTTTTTACAGTAATCAAGTTAATAGTACTTAAATAGAATTAATTTTATTTTCTTCCTTTGATTTTGGGATGAACTGCAGTTAACTTTTATTTATAACTTTTATTCAATTAACTTGATTTGTATTGATTAAAAAGTATGATGTGTAAAAGCAATATGCAAAAAAAAAGGTAAAGGGAGGGAGGAAGGAATAATAGCAAGTTAAGTCATTTGTTTTTGTATTTTCGTGTTTTTGCATTGAGTAAGATGACCATTCATAGCTAGAATTTCATCATGAGAGTTTTGCAAATTGAATGTTAGTTTAATTACAACCGATAGGACAGCACATTGGGAATATGCATGTGAGTTGTGGATTTAGTCTTTTGCTGGGATATTGTGCGTAAGCTGAGATGGCGGATTAGAAGTGGCACATGCTGACAGCTGTGAGACTTAGTGAAAGTATGTCTGTCAAACCGCTGACGTGATGTATTTCGGGCCTGTCTTTTATGTCGTTTATTTCTACAGGCTGTTAAAGATGTTAATGTACCTTGTCTAATGGTGGCTCTCTGTAAGCCTCTCAAATCACCAATATTTCTCTTCCCCCTTTTCTCCCTCTCTGTCTTCTGCTCCTCATAACACACATTCTTATTTGTCGAGTAAGGATGGGGATCTTTACAGTGAATGTGAAAGTCTGAGCAGACGCAGGTTAACAGAGCTCATATGACTCAGTCGGTGTGCTCAGCACAGCAGGTTCTGTACGTTTGACTTCATACACGTTACAAATAATCCAGCCTGGGAATTCACAACATTTTTTCAGTGCTCACATCCCTAATGTTCAGTGCTGCTTCATGATTTCATAGCTAGAGTTTTACAAACTACACTACTGCTCAAAAGTTTGTTTTTGAAAGAAGTCTCTTATGCTCACCAAGGCTGCATTTATTTAATCAAAAACGCAGTAAAATTTGTATTATTGTGAAATATTACTACAGTTTAAAAGAGACGTTTTCTATTTGAATATATTTTAAAATGTAATTTATTCCTGTGATGCAAAACTGAATTTTCAGCATCATTACTCTAGTCTTCAGTGTCATATGATTCTCCAGAAATCATTCTAATATTCTGATTTGCTGCTCAAGAAACAGTTCTTATTATTATGAATGTTGAAAACAGTTGTGCTACTTAATATTTTTGTGGAAATCATGATACACTACCATTCAAAAGTTTGGGGTCAAAACAATTTAATTAATTAATATTTCTATTTAGCAAGAATTCATTAAATTGCTCAAACGTGACAGTAAAGACATTTAAAAATGTTAAAAACATTTATATTTCAAATAAATGCCGTTCTTTTGAACTTTCTATTCTTTAAAGAATCCTGAAAAAATATATCAGTTTCAACAAAAATATGAATCTGCACAACTGTTTTCAACATTGATAATAAGAACCATTATTTATAATTGAGCGCCAATAATAATTGATAACAACTGAGCTCCAAATCAGCATATTAGAATGATTTATCAAGAATTATGTGATACTGAAGACTGGAGTTATGATGCTGAAATTTCAGTTTTGCAGCACAGGAATAAATTACATTTGAAAATACTAAATTGTACTAAATAGTTTTACTAAATGTAAATAATTCTTCACAATATTACTGTTTTTACTTTATTTTTTAGCAAAGAAATGCAGCCTTGCAGAGATAAGAGCCTTCTTTAAAAAAATATATTAAAAAAATTAATGAATAAAAAAAACATTTTAAAAAGAATTACTTTTGACTAATTTTAGTGGATTTTATATATATATATCAAAATGCATCACAGGAGACAGTGAGCACTAACATGTCTGAAGTGTCAGCACTGGAAAAATGTTATGCACTTTCAACCATGAATTCCCATCAGCCCTGCTGTAAAATCTCCTCCCTTAATATCATTGGGATCTGTTAGGTGATGGGACACACTCAAACACACACACACACACACACACACTGAGTGGACTCATCTCTATTGTCCTTGTTTATATGAAAAAAGCTGTTTATAGAATAGCTCCACCCTCCTCCTCCTCCATACACCCACAAAGAGCAAACCATCTGATCATAACAGCTCCTTACAGCCCTGAACGTTACTGCAAGTGTGACGTCTGATCAGCTGCGCATTACAAACACATGCTCACTGCATGGTGCACTTCATTTGGTTCCTGATATCTAGTTTAAAATGGTTTCAATGATGCATATTGTGTAAACAAAAATATTATTTATGTAAATAAATAGTTTTATTATTTTGGCTGCAATAAAATGGCTTCAAATGGGTTATGAATGTGTTTTGAACGGTTTGATTCAGAGGCTGTTGCAAGACTCTTTCGTGACTTCTCATTAAAAACGCAAATTTGGCAGCTCAGATATGCAATAGTGCCATCAAACACATTTAGAAAAGATTATTAAACCATAACTGGATTTTATATTACTTCATATTACAGAAGACAAAGTGTTTTTTGTAGCTCTGTTTGCTTTAAGGTTTTAAAGTTACTGTCAGTGTTCATTTTAAAGGAATAGCTCACCCCAAAATTAACTTTTTCTAAAAATGTACTCAACCTCAGACCATCCAAGATGTAGAGAAGTTTGTTTCTTCATAGGAACAGATTTGGAGAAATGTAGCATTACATCACTTGCTGACCAGTGCAGTGCAGTGAATGGGTGCCGTCAGAATGAGAGTCCAAACAGCTGATAAAAACATCACAATCAAGGAACCGTTGTTATGGATTATGAACTTGTATTTCGGCTAGAAGTGACGCCAGCGTTAAAACGCTGTACTGGAATCTTGTGGATTAGTGGTGGATTATTGTGATGTTTTTATCAGCTGTTTGGACTCTCATTCTGAAGGCACCCATTCACTGCAGAGGATCCATTGGTGAGCAAGTGATGTAATGCTACATTTCTCCAAATCTGTTCCAATGAAGAAACAAACTCACCTGCATCTTAGAAGACCTGAGGGTGAGTATATTTACAGCAAATTTACATTTTTGAGTGAACTATTTAAACTATGTAAATAATGAAAACCATGCTTTTTCAATAATTAACTCTATTCATTTCAACTTGAACAGCATTATACAGATAGTTAAAACAAAAATTATATTTGCTTTGCTGAGAATATCTGTTGTGCGTTATAGTTATTTTTTCTCCATTTTACCCAACAGCAAAACTCAGACACTAATGGCAACCTGCGGAAACGTGGCAATTCCAATGTTCAGTCTCAACCAGACTCCAAGAAAACCCAAAGAACCGAAACGTCTGGCAAGAGCGGAGCATCCACATCCAAACCAACCTTGACCAGCCAATCATCTTCCACCTCAGAGGGTACCACCAGTTTCTCCAGCCAATCACGTCTCAGCCCCAGTTCTGCCAGCCAATCAAATGCAGCCACTTCATCCTCTGCGTCCAAGAAAACACCGCCGGCCCCGCCCTCTACGCCAACAGTTCCCGAGAAACCATCGCCCAGTGCAACCGCAGGCTCCGCCCCTCTTCACCATCTCCTCGGGCCTAAATTAGAGAATATTAAAAAGAAGGAAACCAAGGCTGCACCTCAACCTGCCACTCCTCCAACAGGAGGAGCCAGCAAGATCGACGAATACGCACGTATTTTATTCCCAGTGTCCTTTGGGGCATTCAACATGGTGTACTGGGTGGTTTATTTGTCCAGAGACACCATGGAGGCAAAGGTAGGCTAACAAGAACAGGCTTGGATGTTTGTACCTTTTTTTCTACAACTTAGATGAAATAAAGAGCACTCTTAAGGATTACATCAACAAGCAATTCCAAGAAACTAAATTATATTACAGCAGACAAAACTGCACAAGCGCACAGAAGAGTGCACTTCTTTTTTTTTTTTTTTGGTAATCAAAAGGGCCATACGCAAGATTAAGCATGTGGATATATTATAATAAGTAAAAAATAATTAAATTAAAAAACAATCCAAGAAATCTCACAGGAATGAAATATAGACGTATCTGTCGTCTGTTTGAATAGCCATATTTCCAGTCTGTCCTTTTTATCACCGGACACACTGAAGAAGGAAAAATGCCACTGAATAGAAAAGCCAATACCAGGGTCGTTTAGTCTATAATAATAAAGATTATTATTATATATAACAAACTCACCTGCATCTTAGAAGACCTGAGGGTGAGTATATTTACAGCAAATTTACATTTTTGAGTGAACTATTTAAACTATGTAAATAATGAAAACCATGCTTTTTCAATAATTAACTCTATTCATTTCAACTTGAACAGCATTATACAGATAGTTAAAACAAAAATTATATTTGCTTTGCTGAGAATATCTGTTGTGCGTTATAGTTATTTTTTCTCCATTTTACCCAACAGCAAAACTCAGACACTAATGGCAACCTGCGGAAACGTGGCAATTCCAATGTTCAGTCTCAACCAGACTCCAAGAAAACCCAAAGAACCGAAACGTCTGGCAAGAGCGGAGCATCCACATCCAAACCAACCTTGACCAGCCAATCATCTTCCACCTCAGAGGGTACCACCAGTTTCTCCAGCCAATCACGTCTCAGCCCCAGATCTGCCAGCGAATCAAATGCAGCCACTTCATCCTCTGCGTCCAAGAAAACACCGCCGGCCCCGCCCTCTACGCCAACAGTTCCCGAGAAACCATCGCCCAGTGCAACCGCAGGCTCCGCCCCTCTTCACCATCTCCTCGGGCCTAAATTAGAGAATATTAGAATGAAGGAAGCCAAGGCTGCACCTCAACCTGTCGCTCCTCCGACCGGAGGAGCCAGCAAGATCGACGAATACGCACGTATTTTATTCCCAGTGTCCTTTGGGGCGTTCAACATGGTGTACTGGGTGGTTTACTTATCCAAAGACACCATGGAGGCAAAGGGAGGCTAACAAGAACAGGATTGGTTGTTTGCACCCTTTTTTCTACATCTCAAATGAAATAAAGAGCCCTCTTAAGGATTACGTCAACAAGCAATTCCAAGAAACGAAATTATATTACAGCAGACAAAGCGCACAGAAGAGATTATCTGGGTGAAATAATATTAAAACTTTTTTTTGTTGGTAATCAAAAGGGCCATACGCAAGATTAAGCATGTGGATATATTATAATAAGTAAAAAATAATTAAATTAAAAAACAATCCAAGAAATCTCACAGGAATGAAATATAGACGTATCTGTCGTCTGTTTGAATAGCCATATTTCCAGTCTGTCCTTTTTATCACCGGACACACTGAAGAAGGAAAAATGCCACTGAATAGAAAAGCCAATACCAGGGTCGTTTAGTCTATAATAATAAAGATTATTATTATATATAGAGAGAGAGAGACACTTCCGGTAAAAATCCTTCACTCAGAAAGCCGGAATTTTTGGAAACCCAACAGATCTGAACTGACCATGCGGATGTCTGCCAAGAAGATGTATTTCTGACATAATGCACAACTCATTTCTTTCAGTTGTGATGGAATCTAATTTTAAACCACATCATGGTGTATGTAAACTATCAGGCATGAATGGTATCTATCCTGTGTTCTCTCGCCGAGAGAAAATGTTGGAATGGATCGTGTCCTGATTGCATGTCTTTTATTTTTTAAAGAAACTATAAGAATTTTCGTCATTACAAATTAAGTCGTTAAAGCACAAATGATGATTTTTCTCTCTTTGTTTTGGAAGTTGAATGGCTTGTTTTTAGTTCAGTTCGATTTGGGTTTTGTTTTCATTATTGCAGTATTTTTCGTCTTATAGCTGATATTATCTGCTATAAAGAAGGAAGTGTGACATAGGGAAGGAGTTTCACCATTTGAAGCACACAGCATGTGCCGACGGGCCCCCTGGAGCCTGGTGCCGTGGCAACCGCACAGGGCCCAGATGGTTCTGGAGTCATTTAGAACAGTAAGAGGGTTAAACAGACTGATGTTGTCATACAAGAGCCAGAAGATGACGAAAACCTCCACCGCTCCACATAGGGCTGTTTTTGTATGTGTAAATTGGATTTTAACAGTGATTGGTTGAGGTCTTCGTTATCCACCAGTCGTTAGTTGTCACAAAAACAAAATCAGAGTAAAAGGAATATATCACTCAAAAATGGTGCCATGGAACAAGAAAAGAACATTTTTAGTAGACTGTTTGATGTCAAAGTCCAAAAATGACAAAAAAGTACTGTAAAAGTAGCCTTAATGACTTTGTGCGAGTTGTTGTCATTTTTTGCATTGTCATTTTTTGATAGATGTGAATCATATAAGATATGGAAGAAGAGTTCATCAACAAATAATTTACATTTTGTCTTGTTTATCAAACAAAGCTATTGTATGATTTTAGGAGACTGAATATAGAGGATTTATATATGAAAATAGTCATATGAACTACTTTTATAGTGCTTTTTTGTGCTTTTTGGAGCTTGACAGTCCAAAAAGGGGGGTTCTCAGCGATGCCATAGAAGAACAATTTCTGCTTCCCCAAAGAACTAGTGAAAGTTCTTAAACATTTGTCTAAGTGTGACAAACCCTTTAATACACCAAAGCACCTTTTTAGACTCCAAAAAGGTTCCTTGGATGTTAAAATGTTTCTTTTAAAACAACATTTTTCTTGTGACAAAACTTTTAATAGTTCTAAAGAACCTTTTTGCACTATATAGACCCTTTTGTGCATTCGAAAGGTTCCTTGGATGTTAAAAGTTCTTCATAGAACCATAGATCCCAACAAAGAACCTTTATTATTTATGATGTTCACTTATATACTGTGTGTGTGTGTGTATGAATATACATGAAGGGAAAAAAAAATCTCCCTTTGTGTTCCACAGAAGAAAGCAAATCATACAGGTTTGGAACAGCATGAAGGCGAGTTTATTTTTGGGTGAACTGTCCCTTTAAAGTTTGATTTATTTGACTCATGGAGTTTTGCTGTATAGTATAGGTGTGCTGGAGACTGCTGAACTGATTCTGTGATTTTTGGGGTGATCTTAGCAGACGGCTTTTAAATCCATCCCACTATTCTGTTAAAATATGACATAAAACATAGCATATATGGCACAACTTTGTTTGATTTAATTGAATCTATACAATTAATTAAACGAGTATTTGATTACTTAGAACAAATGTGCATGTGTATTCTTAGACTCGTGTCTACATACATGCATGCATGACTGTGGATGTGCTGGTATGCCTGTGTGCAAGTTAATATGATGCAGACAGTCTCACTGATTAGACTCAAATTTTGACTATCACTCCACATGTTAACGAAGCAGCACAGTTCATCTAATGAATCATTAACTTCTCTCCCTCTATCATGCTGTTTCCAACATAAATGAATAAGAAGGCTTTTCAATTTACTGATCAAAGAGAAAAAAAGAAAACCTAATTTAATAAGCATAATACTTACTACATACTGCTCATTATATACTGTATATTGCCTATTTTATTTAAAACAGTACAGACGCCCTAAAAGACAATGCATTATTTCTATTTTTTTTTTTTATAGTTTTCTCTAGGATTTCTAAGTGCAATATGCAGTATACATACACTACTGGTCAAAAATTTAGAATAATTATGTTTCTGAAAGAATTTTACACACGAATATTAAGAAATGTTTCTTCAACAGCAAATCAGCATATTAGAATGATTATTCATGTGACACTGAAGTAGTGATGCTGAAAATTCAGCTTTGTCATCACAGGAATAAAATACATTTTAAAATGTATTCAAATAGAAAAAAAAGTAATTTTTTTAAATTGCAATAATATTTCACAATATTACTGCTTTACTGTATTTTTTGATCAAATAAATACAGCCTTGGTGAACGTCTTTTAATTAATTAACATTTTTGACCAGTATTGTATATGGATGAATAATTTTTTTTTTAACAGCTCACGATTTCATTGTCATGCAACACGAGGGACAGGGAATGTCTATGTGTGCTTATTTAATGATATTTTAAAGATGCTGATCTAATACTTTAAGAAATAATGAGTGATTAGAAAATGAGAAAAATAAGTCACGATCTGAAGAAAGCAAGACAGAAACCAGATAATGCATCCTCAATATTTTGCATGGTTACGTAAGCAAAAGACATTTAGTTATCTCAGGGTTTGGCTAAAATATGATTATTTCATTGTGGGATACAGTATTAACACCTAGTTGTCTAATGGTTAGACGGAGACCTGGAGATGCCTACCAGCCACCCACTGTGAAATTTGGTGGAAGATCAGTGATGATCTGGGGGGTGACCCAGCAAGGCTGGAATCGGGCACATTCGTCTTTGTGAGGGTGCATGAATCAAGCCACGTACAAGGTTGTCCTGGACATGCTTCTTTCTGCTCTGACAATGTTCCTCAACTCTGAGGATTGGTTTTTCCAGCAGGACAATTCTCCATGCCACACAGCCAGGTCAATCAAACTGTGGATGGAGGACCACCAGATCAAGAGACCCTGTCTTGGCCAGCCCAATCTCCAGATCTGATCCCCATTGAAAACCTCTGGAATGTGATCAAGAGGAAGATGGATGGTCACAAGTCATCAAACAAAACCGAGCTGCTTGAATTTTTGCGCAAGGACTGGCATAAAGACACCCAACAGCAATGTGAAAGACGTGGAGAGCATGTGTCAGGGTCCTGCTCTGACCGTCATCTCTGTTCTGTCTTTGTTTAACATTTCCTTGTTTGTCTTGTGTCTGAGCACATGGCTTTGTCTTTGTTTATGTTGGCCATGTGCTCCTCTCGTCCTGCCCCCTTGTTTCCCTCTACCACGCCCCCTTGTTTAGTCCTAGTCTAGTCCTCGTTAACTTGATTGTGTCTACCTGTTCCTCATGTGTTCTGCTCCTTTATAGTGTGCCTCTTTCCTCATATCTTTGCTGGTTTGTTGCATTAGTTCATTGTGTGTAAGACAATTCCTTGTCAGACTACTTGTCATATTAGTAGTGTTAGCTTTTACTCGCCTAGTCAGTCTAGCTTTGCATTTAGTGCTCTTGAAGGTTATTAGGGTGTCTTTGCTTTTGTTATAATTTGCCTTTTGGTTCTTGTTTTATTTGCTCTCTGCATTTTTTTTTTCTTCTTCATTGTAGTCAGTGTGTTATTTTGCTGCTGCTTGTTCTCTCTTGTGGTCT